ACCATTTCCTTTTAGTACAATGACTCTGTGTATTCCTTCCATCTTTTCTTGATGATAACCACTAGTAAATTTTGGTGTCTACCAAAGTACACTTGCCTATACTAGATATTTTCTACACGTGGGATCGTACAGCATCTGCGCTTTTGTCTTTTCAAAGTTCATCCATACTGTAGCTGGTATCAAATTTCCCTTCTCCTTATGACAGAATAAGAGTCTATTATTACACGAGTATTCCACATTGTGTTTATCCATTCCTGTTGATGGACATGTAGGCATTTCCACCTTTTGGCTATTGTGAACAGTGCCGCATTGAACACTGGCCTGCAGGTTTCTGCTTGCCTTCCTGCCTTCAGTTCTGTTGGAGTAAGACCTTTTTGAATGGAGAGTTCAGCACTAACCTTCCATGCGGATCTTAGGATCTGAGATCCCAAACCAGACAGAGATTGCGTATGTCTGTTCTCTGATCCTTTTTCAGAAATACTGAAGAAGTCTAGAGTTTGGTCTTGACTCCTGGACTAAGGAGACCTGTGACCAAGAGTGAGTGGCTTTCCCTCACCCAGCCCCCATAGACCCCTATGTGAAAGGAAGGGGCTGGGGGAGGTGACTCCAACCAGGTGACAGAACCAGGGTGCTGTCTCATTTCTGATGGATTTACATGAAGGCGTGTGATGTCGTGAGGAAACTTGTTTGGGAATCAAATACAAAATATTCAATGTTTCTAGAACTGAGGTCATAAGTAGAAGGCTTGGTCTTGCCATTCAGGATACTCACATCACTGTGAGAGTCACTCTAGGGCCACACAGTATTAAACTGAAGTGTCTGACATTCATCCGAGCCATTTCAGAGCTTACAGATAGTTCACTGAATGAGGCCTAAACTTTGCATTTTTACCTGGTCCCAAGGTAGAAGAGGAGGAATCCTGGTGTGGTGCTGCAGGTTAATGTACTAAACTACAAGGTCGGTTTGAACCACAAAGTTGGTGGTTCAAGCTCACCAGCAGGGTGGTGATGTGCCGTGGAATCAGTTCTGACTCATAGTGATCCTGCACAGGGTTTCCAAGGCTGTTAATCTTCACGGGAGCAGAAAGCCTCATCTTTCTCCCATGGAACAGCTGGTAGTTTTGAACTTCTGGCCTAGAGGTTCGCAGCCCGACTGGTAGCCGCTACGCTACCAGCAGCTCCTCGGAAACCCTATGCAGGGTCGTTGTGAGTTGCAACCAACTCCATGGCACTTAACAACCATAGCAACAAGTAGAAGAGGACTCCCTGGGTGGTATAAACGGTGCTAACCAAAAGGCTGGCGGTTCAAGTCCACCCAGAGGTAGAAGGAAAGCTTGGGAATCTACTTCTGAAAAATCAGCCACAGAAACCCTATGGAGCACACCTACTCAGACTTGCAAGGGCTCACCATGAGGTGTTTCAAAGGTAAGAGAAGAGACCTTTATGCTAGATCAGGATGCAGAGAACATTATGTTATGATCTAGGTTGTGACTGGGCCATGTCATCTTGGCATCTGATCCTTCTAAAGGCAGAAAAATGGAAATTGTTTTTTGTTTATGTTAAGGAAAATACCAACCAAGTTCCTTGGAATCAAAAATTCACTTTCCTTTACCTGCCAAGTCTAGACACCAAGGGGCCGACCAGGAGGGATCCGACAAAGCCTCCAAAGGGGAACATGGACACGGAGACAGACCAGAGCAAGGTCAGGTGGAAAGAAGACATGTATTCCCCGGTTCTTACATAGTAGGTTTGATTGTAAAACTCCTGCATGATCTGGAGAGCAAAACACAACAGAACATCCACATAATCTGACCTGACTTGGAGAAAGACCAATGGAAGTTGTTAGGCCACTACCCCAGGGGATTATCTGGGCCCGCATGCATCACTACGATTCAGTGGAGAAAAGAGAGCTGAGAACACAGTCATGGGTCCCCCAGGAGAGGGCTTCAAGGCCTCTGATGTGCAAACCACTCAGGACGTTCCTCATACCAGAAGCCACTGGATGAGCTTGTCTCTTCTGGACCCCTCCATAAACTGCGAGGTTGAAGAAGATCAGTGCTCTCTCCTGAGCCCAGTCCATGTGTTCAGTTGGGCCTGAACCACATGTATTCTCCATGAGAAACTTTGTGTCTGGGGACCTGGTTTGTCCCAATGAACCAAGTTCCCTTGGGCCTACACTATGTGTCCTCTCTCTTCGCTTCACAGGGCATACAGTCCCACTCTGGCTGATCCCTACCTGTTTCCTTGGGAGCCTGCATCTCGTCCACTGAAGACAGGAACACCTACCTCTGAAGGGGAGTTGATAACAGCCACGTTGTATCCATATTGGAAGGATGACCCGAAAGCAGCAATCAACGTGGCCAGGGCCAGTATAACTGTCAGCGACTGTGAAGAGATATGGCTGAGTCAAGCAGCAGCTCTAGAGTCCAAGAACTCTCCCACTTCACTTCAAAGGGACCCAGTTTTGTAGAAACAGATGTAAGAAAAATCTGTTAATTTCAACTGCTCCTATCTTGAAACATATCCTCTACCTACCTTGGGTTAGGATGTTGTTGTTAGGTGCCATTGAGTTGGTACCGACTCAAAGCAACCCTATGCACAACAGAATGAAACACTGCCCGGTCCTGGGTTAACCTCACAATTGTTGCCTCTTTTGAGACCATTGATGCTGCCATTTTGCCAATCCATCTTGCTGGAGGTCTTCCTCTTTCTTGCTGACCTTCTTCCTTACCAAACATGATATCCTTCTCCAGTGACTAGTCCCTCTTGACAGTATGTCCAAAGTATGAGAGATGAAGTTTGGCCATCCTAGCCTCCAAGGAGCACTCTGGCTTGTACTTCTTCCAACACAGATCTGTTGGTTCTTTTGGCAGCCCATGGTGCTTTCAATATTCACCTCCAACACCATAACTCAAATGTATCAAATTCTTCTACGATCTTCCTTATTCACTGTCCAGCGTTCGCATGCACATGAGGTTACTGAAAATACCATGGCTTGTATCAGGTGTACCTTAGTCCTCAAACTGACATCTTTGCTCTTCAACACTTTAAAAAGGCCTTGTACAGCAGATTTGCCTAATGCAATACGTCATTTGATCTCTTGACTGCTATTTCCATGAGTGTTGATGGTTGATCCAAGAAGATTTAAGTCTTTGACAACTTCAAGCTTCTCTCTGTTGATAAGACTGTTGTTTATTGGTCCAGTGGTGAGGATTTTTGTTTTCTTTACACTGAAACAAAATCCATACTGAAGGCTATGGTCTTTGATCTTCATCAGTAAGTATTGTAAGTCCTCTTCACTTTCAGTAAGCAGGGTTGTATCATCTGCATATCACGGGTTGTTAATGAATCTTCCTCCAATTTTTTTGTTTATTATTAGTTTTTATTGTGAGGTTTTAAGTGGGAGAACATCAGCTTTACACTCATCCTATCATATTTCATTTCATTGCAATGATTACAGTCCCCTCCATGCATCATTATATAACCCCAAAGGGTACACCACACAGGCCCACCCTGCCACCCCCACCCCCGCTGCCAGCACAGAGCCCTTCTCCCTCCCTGAGTCCAGTGTCCCCAGCTGCTCCATCTGTCCATGTCATCATCTCTGTCTCCATCCCTGGCATCACTGCTTTTCTGGGTAGGGTCATGCCCTTCATTCTTCTCACTTGATGGTCCCAGGGACCTCTGCTCCTGGGCTGGAAAATCAATCACTCTCCTCCTTTTGTCAAAAAACCTCTACTTCTATATTTCCTACCCTTACAGTCAGACCTGATGGCAATTATTCACTATTGTACCACAAGAGTCTTATCCCCATTTCCTTTCACCAGCCCGGTTCCAATGGATTGAAAATCATTCAGTGGTAATTCTACCTTCCCCACCCCATCTGGAATTAGGCTCCCTCTTGAAAGCTTGTAAGCCAGTCACTTCTTGCCTTTTAAAGACTCCCCCATTTTGGGTAGCCAATGTCTATGTTGCCCATCCCTGTCAACCCTGTGTACCGAAGGGGTGAGAGTGATCCTCGCTGTAAAGATTTGTTCCCTTTTTTGAGCTACTACATCCATATGTATAGGTAAAATTCATCAAATTGTAGTGGATTGCTCTTTTTTTCCCCCTCACTCTTCTTTCTTCTTCTAGTTGAGTTCTGATCATCCAGCCATAGAAGCCAGATCAAGTGGGCACTATCTGCAAGGATGGGTGTTCTTGTGCATCTCCCCTCACTTAACATCAGCTGGATGCCTCACTCTCCATTCCAGTTGACTGTGTCCATGTCACTGCCTCTGGGCCCAGGTGTCCCCGGGTCTTGCTGTACTGCTGGCCATCCAGGTCTTCACCCAGGCTCATGGGAGTCTATTGAATGTGGTCAGGCTTAGCTCGCAACTTCATTGCTATTTCTTCCCAACTTCATTGCTGTTTTTCCCCCTCTTCCCCCATCAGTGACCAATGTGGTCACCAGCCAGTCCACACGCCTGCCCATGTATTCCCCTTGAGTCTCAATCTTGGAAGGGGTTCCTTCAATCTTGATACCACATTTTTCTTCATATAACCCAGCTTCTCATATTATTTGCTCATCACACAGGTTGAACTATAAACATTTTTGGCTGAGTAATCTTTGTTATTAGGGTGTGGGGGAATGTACAGCCTGTCTTGAGCATTGTAGGATTCTTAAGGTACGCCTGGCATCTACCCAAATTGTGACAACCCAAAATGTCTCTAACTAACCAAGCAAATGTGAAGTTAACTCTGACTCATGGTGCCCCCATGTGTATCAAAGTAGAACTGCACTCCAGAGGGTTCTCAATGGCTGATTTGTATGAAGTAGATTGCCACGTCTTTCCTCTGAGGGGACTCTGGCTAGGTTCAAACCTCCAACCTTTCAGTTAGCAGCCAAATGTCTCTGGGCTGGGACACAATGTGTCCACTCCATCTAATGTCTGAATCACTTCCCTAGCATTCATGCCACGTGGCTACATTTGCTGACCACAGCCTCACACACAGGGATCAACACTGGACTGCTAACCTCAAGGTCGGTGGTTCAAACCTACTAGTGTCTCCTTGGAATCTCTATACAGGGAGACTATGAGTAGGAACCGACTCAATGGAACTAACAACAGCAAGAAGGGAGAGAGAACTGTGGGAAAGTGGGGATTGATCGCTAATGGGTATGAAGTTTCTTTAAGGGTGACATAAATGTTCTCAAATGGACGTAGTGATGGTTGCATAACTCTGAATATGCATTGAACTGTATGCTTTAAATGACTAAACTGTATAGTATGTGAATATATCTCAACAAAGTAGTTATATAAAAAGTACTCTGAGATAAACAGGGCATTTTTGTTTTGTTTTTTATTTTCCAGGAAACAAATTCACAAACCAAAAAAAGGCCAGGGGTGAGGGAAAGGAATTGGGAAAAAAAGATACCCAGGTCTCTCTCCCACTTGTGAAGGAAGATGAAAGGTCCTCAGTGGCTTTGGGGACATGATCAGGACCGTCTACCCTTAGAGGCTAAGGAGCCACGACTCTTGAGTTAGGCGTTTGGGAGAAACCAGGCAACTAACTTGCTATTTTTCACAATGTCTAGGATGTCTTGAGACTTTAGACAAATAACTACTCTCAGAGCTGGCCTTCTGACAAGGATCCTGGCAAGAAGCCTGGCCAAACCATCACCCTTAAGAATCTGTCTCTTCATTCACATTTCAACCAGTGGAGAGAGATTCGTCAACTTTCCTCTTCAGGAATCTCCAGTCAGCACATAAATATCCTTGGAAACATTAGCTCTTATTTGTTAGTCGCTGTTAAGTAGATCCCAGACTCCTGGGGATCCCACTCACAATGGGACCAGGCTGCTGTGATCCATATGGTTTCCTTTGGCTAGTTTTTAGAAGGAGACTGCCAAACCTTTCTTCCTAGTTTATCTTAGGCTGGAAGTTCCATTGAAAGCTCTTCAGCATCATAGCCACACACAAGCCTCCACTGACAGTTGAGTGGTGGTGACTGCACCTGAGGCTCATTGGACAGGACAAAGTCCCTATTCTTATAAATTACTAATAGTGTAAACTAAGGCACTTTATCATATAACTGAATCCACAGTTTCACACAATGAAAAATGGTGAAGGGAGAGTGGAGAGGTAAAGGAACATTCTAGAACTAACAGTGCCCTGGAGGGCATAAGTCTTACACCCCTATCTTACTAGTGTGGTGGTGAAGTGCAGTCTCTGGAGTCAAAGGCCCTGGGATCAAATCCTAGCTCTAGAACTACTGGCTGTGTGGCCTCAGGCAAGTTAGTAACCGTCTCTGGGAAAAGAGAATAGTGATCTTACCTTCCTTATAGGATCGATAGTGAGGAATGAGTGAGCTCATGTATGTAAAATGCTCACAACCATGGCTGGCAGTGGTGTGCCACTGAGTTGGTTCCGACTCATAGAGACCCTATATAGGGTTTCCGAGGCCATAAATGTTAATAGGAGCAGAAAGCTACCTCATCTTTCCCCTAAGGAGTAGCTGGTAGATTCAAACTGCTGATCTTGTGGTTAGCAGCCCAGCTTGTAACCCACTATGCTACCAGAGTTTGCTATTGTTATTAATTATATTATTAATTAGTTTCCATTATTAATCAATGAGGACTCAGAACTTCACTTAATGATTTCCCAGATTCGTACAAACAGAGGGAGAGATACTTGTTGAATTTACAGAACTAGTCTGTGGTGGAGGCACTGCACACAAAGGATGTATTTTCACTTTTCAAAGAACTTGGGCTTTTTCCCCATCTTTTCTTCTTTTGGGCACTAAGCCCATTTCCTGGCACAAAGTCCTTTGATGCACAGCAGTCAGATCCTGGCCTTTCCCCCTTACACAGGAGAAAATCAAAGGCCAGGGAGCCACCGAGGGCCCGAGAACTGAGCCCACCCACTGCCCAGCACCCTCCCCATCAGAGCAGCCTCCTTGAAAACCCAGGGCTGATGCACTGCTGCCCTAGGTCCCGACCCCACATCCCTGGCTCTTCAGTCCTCTGCTTCACGTAATGATTTCCCAGTTTTTTATACACACCTGATCACAGTACTGTGGGCTGCCTTGTTGTAATGTCACTCAGAGAGCCTAGCACTGTGGAGTTCAGTCTGTCTTCCAGAGAAGCAGCTCGACCCTTAGGGATGGATGCTCTGAAGGTGGCACCATCTCCTGTGGGCACCAAGCATCTTTCTCTACTGTCCAGGGTAGGGAGAATGTTGGAACAGGTAGCTGTGATCCCCCATACCTTTTGCCTGTGATTGTTGTAATCGTTTCCTTTCAGAACATACTGTTTGCCTTTAGGCATCACCATGTGGAGACATTTCTGTTCCCTCTGCGGCTGTATCTGGAGGGCAAGGCTGGGGGTTGGGGGAATCCTTTGAACAGGAGGCACAGAGGCCTTCCCCTGACCCCACCTAACACTTCAGTGCTCTGTGCCTCATTTCTATAAAATGGAGAGGGATAACACTTGATTTGTCTAACCCTCTCTTAGTTGTGAGCCAGATGAATGCATTTATTGTTGTTAGCTGCCATCAAGTTGGTACCAACTCACAGCGACCCTATGCACAACAGAACGAAACACTGCCCGGTCCTGGGCCAACCTCACAATCCATGTTATGTCTAAACCCACTGCTGCTGCCACTGTGCCAATTCAGCTCATTGGGGGTCTTTCTCTTTTTTCTGACCCTCTACTTTACCAAACATGATATCCTTCTCCAGGGACTATTCTGTCCCTCCTGATAATATGTCCGAAGGATGAGAGATGAAGTCTAGCCATCCTGGCTTCCAGGGAGCATTCTGGCTGTACTTCTTCTAATACAGATTTGTTTGGCAGTCCATGGTACTTTTTTGGGGGGTGGATAGTTTTGTGTTACTTTTTTTTTTTTAAGTTTTTATTGTGAATTGAGTGATAGTTTACATGGGAGAACATCGGTTTTACACTTATCGTATTTCGTTTCATTGCAATGATTATAATCTTCTCCATGCATCGTCATCCAACAGTATTTGCTTCTATTACCTCTGGGTGTTTTTTTTTTAAATGTACACAAAAACACTCAAGAATATATAATCATTTAAACAACCAATGAAAGGGCACATTCTGCAAGCCTGCCTCCTGGCTGCCAGCACACAGCCTTTCTCTTTTCATGAGGCTGGAGTCCTCAGCTGCTCTATCTCTCCATGTTATCATCTCTGCCTCCATCTCTGGTGTTGCTGGTTCTCTGGATAGGGTCCCACGTTCCACTCATGCTCTTTTCCCTGGATGGTCCTCGGGCCCTCTGTTCTTGGAATATAGGATTAACTACTCCCCCATTTTTGTTACAAAACTTCTACCATTACAGTTGTAACTATTCCAATTAGTCATGATAACAATTACTCACTATTGAATCATAAGAATCTTATGTCCATCTCCTCTCACCAGATCTGTCTAGACAAGATGATAACTATGTACACTCAGAAGCAAAATTCCCTCTTGAAAACTTGTAAGCCAGTCACTTTGTGCCTTTATTGCTCCCCCCATTTTAGGTAGCCAATGTCTAAGTTGCCCATCCCTATGAACCCTGTGTACTGAAGGGATAAGATTCATCTTTCATGTGAAGACTCCTTCCCTCTCTGTTGGTATGTTGAGTTACTAAAGCCATAAGTATAGGTCAAGTTCCTCAAGTAGTAACAGTTTACACGTGTTTCCTTTATCAAAATTTTTTTTATCTTCCTCTAGTCGAGTTCTGATTATCAAGACATCGAGGCTAGGTCAAATGTGTACTATCTGCAAGTTTGGGCTTTCTTGTGCATCTTCCATCACTTCATATCAGCTGGATGCTTCACTCTCAGTTCTAGCCCTCCATGGCTATGTCCTTGTCCGTGGGCTCAGGAGTCCCCAGGTCTCACACTCTTCAGACCAACTAGCGCTTCCTCTTCTCTCTATCATCTACAGGTTGATGGGAGTCTATGGAACGTTGTCGAGTTCAGCCCATATCTTCATTGCTGCCTTTCCCCAACTTAAATTCACTAGTAGACCAGTGTGTCACCAGCAAGCTTACGTACCTGCTTGTGTGTTCCCTTTGAGTTTCAGTCTTGGAGGAGGGTTTGTTTTAAAGGGAGTCCATGGTACTTTTAATATTCTCCTTCAATATCATAACTCAAATACATCAGTTCTTCTACAATCTTCCTTATTTACTGTCCAACTTTCATATGCATATGAGGTTATTTATTGAAAATACCATGACTTGGGTCAGGCCCACCTTAGTCCTCAAACTGACATCTTTGTCCTTTAACACTTTAAAGAGGTCTTGTGCAGCAGATATACCTCATGCAATACATCTTTGATTTCTTGACTGCTGTTTCCATGAGTGTTGAGGGTGGATCTGAGCAAAATGAAGTCTTTGACAATTTCAATCTTTTCTCCATTTATAAGAATGTTTTTTACTGATCCAGTGGTGAGGATTTTTGTGTTCTTTATATTGAAATGCAAGTCATACCGAAGGCTGTGGTCTTTGATCTTCATCAGTAAGTATTTTAAGTCCTTGTCACTTTCAGCAAGCAAGGCTGTATCATCAGCATATCACAGGTTGTTAATGAGACTTCCTCATATCCAGATGCCACATTTTTCTTCATATAATCCTGCTTCTTAGATTATATACTCAGCATATAGATTGAATAAATATGGTGAAAGAATATAACCTTGGGGCACACCTTTCCTAATTTCAAATCATTCAGTGTTCCCTTGTTCTAACAACTACCTCTATGTACAGGTTCCTCATGAGCACAATCAGGTGTTCTGGAATACTCATTCTCCACAATGCCATCATAGCTTGTCATTATCCACACAGTTGGAAGTCTTTGTGGAGTCAACAAAGTACAAGCAGACATTTTCCTGGTATTCTCTGCTTTCGGTCAAGATCCATCTGATGTCAGCAATGATAACCCACATTTCACGTCCTCTTTTGAATCTGGCAGTTCTCTGACTCATAGCTTCCCTGTATAGGGTTTCTAGTGGGTTTGAACCACCAACCTTGCATTTAGCATTCCAGAGCTTGTCCTACAGCGTCACACCAGGATTTGTTGCTGTTGTTAGGTGCCATCAAGTCAGCACTGACTCATAGCAACCCTATGCACAATAGAACAAAACACTGCCTGATCATGTGCCAATCATTGTTAGTAAGCTCTAAAGTGAGTTTCTTAACACAAGTTCAGGAGTTTGGGGGGATGGATATCTGCCTTCTAGGGGACATTTAATTTTCACAACTGGGTGTGTTTGCCACTGGCATCTATTAGGTGGAGGCCAGGGATACTACTAAACACCCTACAATAGACAGGGCAGCTCCCACAACAATACATGTATCACTCATCCCCCAATGTGAATAATGTCAAACTCTGCTCTAAAGGATGCTAGAAATGTAGTAACATTTATGGGAGATTGCAGGTACTTTACCATCATTATCTCATGTCATCAGAGCTGGGTGCCAAAGAGTCCATGCCAACTCATGGTGACCCCATGTGTTACAGAGGAGAATTGAGCTTCACTCATGGTGACCCCATGTGTTAACAGAGTAGAATTGAGTTCCACTCATGGTAACTCATGTTTTATAGAGTAAAACTGAGCTCCACTCATCATTACCCCATGTGTTAAAGAGTAGAACTGAGCTCCATTCATGGTGACCCCATGTGTTACAGAGGAGAACTGAGCTCCACTCCTGGTGACCCCATGTGATACAGAGGAGAACTGAGCTCCACAGGGTTTTGTACTTGATCCTAGCCAAAAGGCCGAGAACCAATTCTATAGGGCTTCCTTGACTGTAATCTTTACAGAAGCAGATTGCCAGGTCTTTCTTCCACAGTGCTGGCAGGTGGGTTCTAGCCACCACCCTCTCTGTTTGTAGCTGAAAATAAGCCATTTGCACCAACTAGAAACCTCAAAGGGTCGATAATTTCATAATAACTTTCCCTTATTATGCATTTTGAAGGATTCTTAATATAATTCTTAGACTTGTTTTTGTTGTTGTTAAGTGCTATGGAGTTGGTTCTGACTCATAGCTACCCTGCATAGTGTTTCCAAGGAGTGGGCTTCCAAGAAGCTAGTAGGTGTGAACCACCAACCTTGCAGTTAACAGTCCAGTACTTATCCTACAGAGCCACATACTACAACCACAATTTTACTGAAGACAGGAGTGAAAGAGCGTCCACAAAAAACTCTCTTGTCTCTATTGTTGTTGTTAAGTGCCTTCAAGTCGGTTCCGACCCATAGTGACCCTGTACAGGGTCTCCAAGGCTGTAAATCTTTACGGGAGCAGAATGCCTCATCTTTCTCCCGCAGAGCAGCTGGTAGTTTCGAACTGCTGGCCTTAAGGTTCGCAGCCCGATTCGTAACCACTACGCTTGTCTCTATAGAGAGCCTCAAAAGCAGCAAAAAAGCAGGGAAGCTCTGTTACAGATTTGAACTCCATTCAAATAGTGCTGAGGCTCCCACAACTTGCAACATCTTTTCTGGGTCTTCTTTTCATGCAGCCTGAGCTAACTGGCTAAAGAGGTTAATAAAAACGGTAGTGCAAAAAAAATGTAGCCACAATAAAGATATCTCGTAATGTTTAGGGATGAGATGCCAACATACTTGGTTTCAGAATTCCATCACCTTAATTTCATATTTTAAGGAAATGGAAAAATTAAACTTTTGAGTGTCTTCAATTTAATTACAAGGGCCTTTGAAGTAGGCATGTTCTAGTACAATAATTCTCAAAGAGCACCTGACCCAAACTATTTCTGTTGTTGTGTGCCATTGAGCCAATTTTTGACTCATACTGACCCATGTGATTGAGTTGAAATGCCCATGGGGTTTTCTCAGCTGTAATTTCTTTTTTCTTTTTTTTAATGGGAATAGATTACCAGGTCTTTCTCCAGCAGAGCAGCTAGGTGGGTTCAAACCACCAACTCTGTGGTTAGCAGCTGAGCACTTCACCATTGTGTGACCAGAGCTCTTTAAACCCTTCTTCTGGTGGTGGTGGTGGTTATGTGCCACTGAGTCGGTTCTGACTCACAGCGACCCTGCATAGGGTTTCCAAAGCTGTAAATCTTTATGGGAGCAGAAAGCCTCATCTTTCTCCCACAGAGCGGCTGGTAGATTTGAACTACTGGCCTTGTGGTTAGCAGTCCAGCTTGCAATCCACTAAGCTACCAGAGCTCCTTACCCTTTCTCTAGTGCTTATAAAAGTCCAGTTGCTGGGTGAACTCCACCAATGTGGAGCTCCCTAGCACTGCCGTGACCTCCCCCCTCCGCCAGTGACTCCCCAGGGACGTACAACAAGTCCTGGCAGCTGAAATTACACTTGGTTTCTTCTGTGGATAAGGAACTCACCCCTTTTTTCTTGACTATGTCCTGATGTTCCATCTTTCCTCAAGAAGTGCAGAGTGCTGTTTGCCTCCTAGAAGCCAAAATAATGAATGCACTAGATGGAGAGAGAAGGCATTCTGGCTGTACTTTGGCCCTGCTCAGTTAACAACCAATTGCATTTTTATAGCCAGTCTCAGTCCAAATAACCCTTTCAGGACCCCATCCTTTCACTTCCTGTTTTTAACTAACTGTCTGGGTGAGTTAATTTTTAAAAATTAAATTAAATTTAAAAAAATTAAATTAATTAAAAAGGATTGCCATCCTTTCACTTCCTCTTTTTAATTAACTGACTGCGGTTTAGCAAAAAAAAAAGTGGGTGCCCTCGAGACTGCAGAGACAGCATCGTCCTTTGGGACAGTCTTTGATATTTCCTCACAGCTGAAACCTCCTCTGGTCATGCTTGTGGTGAATGATTGGAAGGGTTATTTCTGTCACAAACACATGGAAAACAAGAACCCTTCACTGACCCTACACCATACTAGGTAATATAGGGGCAACATATTGGGATACTCGAGGCTTCTTAGAAGCTGTTCCTAACAGAAAGCCTGAAACCAAGTCCATCTACTGGGGAGCTGGCTTTCTGCCCAAATACAAATGTTTTATAATTGTTCAGAAAGCAAAAAAAAAAGGGGGTGGGGTGGGGTGGAGGGGAAATGTTCCTTATTGTTCTTTGTGGCTTAGAGACATTTTCTGTGGCATTGTAGGATAAGCACTCAACCACAAAGTAAGTTTAAACAACAAGGTCAGTGATTCAAACTCAGCTGCTCCTTGGAAACCCTATGCAGGGTCACTATGAGTTGGAACCAACTCGACGGTATTTAACAACAGCATCACTATTAGGAAGGCAGTAAATATCCTTTATTGACAGGGCAGGGAAAGTGAGTCACAACTGCTGGTCTGGGGCTGTCCAGCTCACAGGCAGACCACTGCAAACGCCCTGTGCTGCCATTGGGTCTGAGGTACAGTGACCAAAATCTAGAGCCAAGTCCCAAAAGTCCTGCAGGTTTTCATCTTTACAGGACATTGTCATTGTTGTTATGTGCCGTGGAATCCGTTCCGATTCATAGCGACCCTGTACAGGGTTTCCGAGGCTGTAAATCTTTACCGGAGCAGAAACCCTCATCTTTCTCCCGCGGAACAGCTGGTAGTTTCGAACTGCTGACCGTGAGGTTAGCAGCCCGATTCGTAACCACTACACTACCAGAGCCCTGTTCTATTTGCCGTGGTACAAATCCAGTGTTTTTCATCATTGCTTTTCCTCAGCCACCTTTCAGCAGTTAATAGAAGGTTCTTACTGTTGGGTACTGTTCTTGGTATTAATAGAAACTGGGCTCCTCTGTGTGGAAGGCTGTGAGGGATATGACAGTGTTAAGGGTTTTTTGTTTATTTTGTTTTTTGTGTGTGTGTGTGTAAGGGGGAGTCCCTGTTCATAAGGGAGAAGGGACTATTTCTTTTCAAGAATTTTCTTGGTGCCCTACACATACAATGATTTCCAACTATGGCTGGGCAAGACCAAAGGTTTTCAACTATTTCAAAGAGTTTTGAAAAATTCTCCAGAGGAAAAAAAAGCATTTTACGTTTGGGGGATGGGATGGGGTGTCAAAATAGTATCAACCCTGAAAAGAAAGGGAGCGGGGTGCAATCAAACAGTGAGAAGTTTGCATATCACCCATCATGGCAAGCTAAAGCTAGTGGCTTCAGGAGCACCGCTTCTGGGCTCAGATCTCCCATTTCACCCCCTGGAAGTTCCTGAAGGGCCGCCCACGCTCACCACTGCCTTGATTTCCCCAACTTGGGGGCAGGACGACAGGCCCAGCACACGGGGCCTGGAGAGGTTTTGTACTAGTTTCCTGCTAGTGGCAGGGCGTTGCGGCCTGGTGTCACCAACGCTTGCTAGGCCGTTCTGGGTGCCTATGTCCCGGAGTGTGAACAAGCGCGCGGAGGGGTGACGGGCGCGTGTGAGGCTGGAGGCCACCACCAAGGCCGCCATGATGGGAGATGCAAGGACTCGTTGCAGGCTAGGTAGACCCACTGGTCCACGCAGGCGCCGTCTGTGCCGGGCTGTGAGCCACCCTTCTGGCCTGGGCGTCCCCTACCCCTACCCTTAGGGACCACTGCAGCCTATGGTCCTGGAGCTTCCGGCTGGCATTAGAACCAGCCTGGGTCTGTGGGTTTGGAGAGGACCTGAGAACTCTAAGAGGTCCAAGGACAGTCTGTAAAGAACCCAACGATTGGGGAACTATCCCTGCCTGATCCTACTCTGTTCTCTGCTCGGGGTCCTTTTGGGCCCTGGGACGCCAGCCACAGGCTGCCTCAGGCTGTCATTAAGCTTTCCAGGGTCCTTTGGGCTTCAGAGAGTTGGGGTCTCAGCGTCGACGTTGAGCTCTCAGGAATGGGTCCACTGGTTAGGGGGAGAGGCTGTTTTAGCTGGGATTCTCCTTCTGGCCCCTCCCCTCAGGTTAATCTGAGACTAGTGGCCTGGGCTGGCCCACTCCAGATAGACTTTCTTTTTGGTTTTCCGAACCTCCGTGTTGGTTTATTATCTCTCAGAACTGAAAACTGGGGATTAATGCCCACTGCCCTCTCTGCCCACTGCACTATCCTTCCATCAGCCTCACCTGCCCAGCCCCACCCTATAACTGCCATTTCTGGATTAGGAAGGAACCTGCTATTTAAATCCTTTATTGAAAGTACCATGGACTGTCTGATGAACAAACAAATCTCTGTTAGAAGATTTACAGCCAGATGCTCCTTAGAACCCAGGAGGGCAAGACTTTGTCTCTTATACTTCGGACATATTGTCAGGAAGAACCAGTCCCTGGAGAAGGACGCCATGCTTGATAAAGTGGAAGGTCAACAGAAAAGTTGGCCCAGTGGCAGCAGGAATGGACTCAAACGTAACAATTGTGAGGATGGCATGGGACCAGGCAGTATTTTATTCTGGTGTTCATAAAGATGTTATGAGTCAGAACCAAATCAACAGCACCTAACAATAACAATTTTGCCTTAGGGACACTGATGGTGTACTGGATTACTAACTGGGCTGCTAACCACACAGCGTGAGCTGTTTGAATCTACCAGTGGCTCACAGGGAAAAAGGATACCCATAGAGGGTCCCTATGAGTTGGAACCACAACCACCACCATTTTCTCCTTGAGGCTTAAAATGACAATAGCTCCACAGCTGATAATTCATGGGCTTTTTGGCTCATTGCATGTTGGCATGTTGCCAAACAACTGATATTGACAAGAAACCTCCTCTGATGAGAGCCTAGGAATCATTTTAAATGGACAATTGTAGGGTCACACCATGTGACTTTCTCTTTCCCACCTCCACATCCCCATATAGTTTGATTCGTCAGAGGAAAATTAAATTAGGATTTTATCACCGAGAAGAAAAAGAACCCAAAACCAATTTTTCTTTTTTTTCCCAAAACCCCCACCCCGCACCCCAAACAGGGTTATGCCTTCTGTTTTCTTTAACAGCTCACATGAAGTCATTTTCAAATGGGTGAAGTAGGAAACATGCATTTGCCAAGGATTATAATATGACAATTTGGGTCCTAGATCTCAATTCCAAAATCATATTACTAACGTAAGTGTAAATATTAATGTTAGTTAATTAATTAGTGTTGGTTAGTAATTAATGTTAATTCCCTGATCTCAGTGGCATTGTAGGGGATCTGAAAACAGTGGTTTTTCTGGATGTGGTTACTCTGGATGGTTTTAGTCCTAGCAGTTTCTAGTCATGCAGTCTGGTACCAGGACTGCACTAGATAGACTGGTAATACAACTGAGTATAAGAACATCCTGGCTTTCATACGGCTTAGAGTCTAGTTGGGGAAACAGAATTTAGCCAAATAATCTTGTTAACCTTGTATTTACAGCTATAAAAGTGTTCTGGAGTACGGGTGGGGGGGATTGGTCAGGAAAGGTCTCCCTGAAAAAGTGAGTTTGAATTGAGATGGGAAGGATGTATGAGAGTGTAAAATCTGAGGCACTTGGTGTGTGAAAAGAGAGCCGCCTGAATGAAAGAGGAAACTTAGTTCCCTTTTAAGTCTTGACAAGAATTTGGATTGTATGTTGAATTTCAAAATTGCCTTTTCTAACAGCTACATTTTTCTCCTGGGTTTAACCTTTGTGGTCAGGCAGATGTAGAGACCACAGCCTTTCCCTAGGGAGTCTTTCTTCTCTTTGGTCAAATAGATGCCAGATGTGATAGCATATACCCAAAAAGTTCTGACACACAGTGTTAATCTATTGGCAGATCTTTACAATAGACCCCCAGGAAAAGAAATGCTTGAAAAAGCAGTTTTAAATAACATGTTCCCAGAAAAACAAGTCCAGTCAAAACTGATTTCACAGCATTTTACAACAACTATTGTCTTGTGAACATTCTGAAATCCTGTGAAAAATACATGTGCTTGCAATTATGCACCCTTAAGGTCGGCAGTTCAAACCCACCAACTGCTCTTCAGAAACCCTATACAAGGTCGCTATGAGTCAGAACCAACTTGACAGCACTTAAGAATAACAACAATCAATCAATCAATCATTCAGAGTCCTGGTGTGGTGCTGTAGGATAAGCACAGGACTCCAACTCATAGCAACACTATATAGGGTTTCCAAGGAGCAGCTAGTGAGTTTGAACCATTTACCTGGAGGTTCAAACCAACCTTGCGGTCCAGTGCTTATTCTATAGTGCCATATACAGGGTCACTATGAGTCGATACTGACTCGACAGCACTTAACAACAACCAATCATGCAGTCCTACATATATGTTATCCACCTACCCCTGTTTCCAAAAGCCCACCTCATGGTCTCTATGATTCAGAACCAACTCAAAGGCACTCAACAACAACTAACCTCCCAGATTGCCTAAAAACCAATCAGAAGCGTCCCATCCCCACCCCATTCCCTAATTCTTTGGTTAAACCCTATAAAAAATGTTTGTGAAAATTGTGCCTCAGACTCCGTGGTTTCATATTCATGGACCA